TCTCCCCTCCCCTTCCCTCTCTCCCTTCCTCTCTCCTTTCTCCTTAAAATAATCATCTGTAATGTTTTGACTTTCAGATGAATAATAAATAAAAATGAGGGCTCTTCATGTCCATAAATGGCAGTAACATTAGGCTTCTGGTTTGTGAGCTTATGGTCTCATTGCCATGAGTGGAAAAGGGGGTGTGCAAGCTGCTATCAAAATATGAGATCCAGGATGCCTACTGGTCATCAGGATGTTACCTGATGGCTGTGCTTTACACTAATTTCACGTGTTCAAATCATAATGTGCTTAAGCTGGTTCTGCTCCATCTAGAATATTCCTTCAGTTCCCTCATGAATATTCCATCATGCTAGGCTGATAATCTTAGAGACAGTTCCTACCTGCTTGTCAAGAAGACAGGCATGTGTGGGAGGAAGAGATGGTTTTTATATGAATATTTTAGAACTTTATAATTTATTCCTCTCATCTTGGAAGTATTAAAATGCATTTGGCAATGTTCGTGACATTTAAATTTAGCTTTATATTTTCCACTGGGTGCAGCAATTTTTCAGTAAAATTTCAACCTTAAAGGCATTAGATAGAATAAGTTCTAAAGGCAGGTATATTTAGAGATACTTTGAGGTAGGTAACAATCAAACTGTCTTTTAGATCTGTGTGCATGAAGACTTCAGATGTCACTGCTGAGAAAGACTGTTAATTAACCAAGATGGGGACAGAGTTGAAGGGATTTTACAGTGTGCTAGGTGCTGCTCTATGTCTTGGTCTGTCTGGGAGTCCATTTCCTCCTTGTCTCTACAACATCTGTAGTCTTGTGAACTAGTAAGCTGTACCGTTCCCTCATTCAGACAGTAAGGTTGATTTAACTGCATAGTAATTAGTATTAAAATCCTCTCATGAGCTGGAGAGATGACCCCACAGTTAGGAACACTTAATGCTGTTACAGAGAACCTGAATTTGGTTCCCAGGACTCACACGGGGTCTCACAGCTACCTGTAACTCCAGTTCCAAGGTATCTGACACTCTCTTCTGGCTTCTGCAGGCATCTGAATACACATGTGCACATAGTCATTTATACACGCACACAAAATCGTTACTAAATTTTAAAAACCATTTTAATTAAAATATAATTACATCATTTCCCCCTTCCCCTCATGTTTCCTACTCCTCCCATGCTCTGTCCCCTCCTCTCCTCTCCCTCAAATTCGTGGCTTCTTTTTCTTTAATTATTATTCTTCCGTATATATATGTGCATAAATATATAAACTCCATCTGCTGTGCATTCACGGCAGAATGTGTACCATCGTACGGCATCAGAAGCCATGCCCCATGGGAGGAAATTGAAGGAATGGGGCTTTTTTTTCCTAGCCCTGGAAATGAGACTCGAATAGGTATCATAGAATAAGTAGTCCTGGCAGAAGAATGGTGGAGGTAAGTCTGTTCCCACTTCTCTTGGGACACCACACACACAGGTGATGCGGCCACTGCTACCTCCCCTACAACCACAACTGCTGCTACCTTTGTTTCTTTTATTTTGTACAAAAAAATTCTTATCCTGAATCCCCTGAGGGCCCCTCCCTCTTTCCTTCTCTTCCTTTCTCTCCCTCTCATACACAGACTTTTGAAGTAAATCTAATATACCCACCTAAATGATCCCTAAGAAGCTACTGTCAGCTCTGCTTTTAAATCTTTACTTCAAACCACCTTCCTGAAGGCCTTCCTTGGTCTTTGTTTCGGTTTGTTTTGGTTTGCGGGGGAGGTTAGTTGGTTTTGTTTTGCTTTTTTCCCAAATAGTTCCAGTTGCACTTGCACTTAAGAAAAAGCTAAAATGAAGGGAAAAGATTTTCACAGTTTAGCAAGAATTGTGTACTTCGTGTGCTTCTAGGCAGACGTGATGGGAAACTGAGAAAGGAAGATTGCCATGAATGTGAGGCCAGCCTAGGCTATGGCGTGAGTTCTAGGCTAGCCTGGACTACAGTGTGAGATCCTGTCTGGAGAAACTAAACAAAAAAGGATTTTGGAAAGGGGATGGTGAATATATACATGAATATATATTCCTGGATATATACATAAAGATACTTACATCAAATGTTCTGTCATATAAGCATCGAGTGAGCAGATAGCAACAACATGTAGGTTCATTTTTTCCTCACACTTGGTTCTTCTGTATTTTAGGTTGGGAATCTCTCTCCAGGCTTGCCTTCTGCAAATTGTGGGTTACAGAAACCTCATTGCAGATGTGGAAAAACTGCGCAGAGAACCCTATGATTCCGACAACCCCCAGCATGAAGAGATGCTTCTGAAGGTTAGTCCTTTGCTACTGTCTGCTAACAGCTTCAGAGCATTCAGGCCAGCCATTCATCTGTGCACTGGGGGTACAAAGGTAACTAAGACATGAGTGTTGTAACAGATTAGCAGGTCTGAATTCTCTTCCTGATTGGATGTATAGTTTTCATCAGAAAATTCAGATAAGAAATGAGACATTAAAGCCTGTCGGTCAACTTTTATAACCTGAGAAAATATCGGAGGTGATTGTATGGGGGAGGAGCATCTCACACTTGGCTCAAGTGTGGATTGTTTCAAATGTCTTGAAAGCCGTAGGAGAAACAAGGCAGCATTTGTCAGAGTGTCATGGGGATTTTACTTACGGCTTTAATACACATCAAAGACAATGAGGTTGATTTCTTCTTCAGCAATAGCCCTCTGGGGAAATTACCCAAGATCCTTGTACTGATTATTTATTCATGTGACTTGGCAAGTATTCAAAGAGGAGGTAAAGGTTTATACTTGGTACATTAAAACTGTCAGCAAAGTAATGTGGAGTTGTAAGTACTCCTTGCTTCAAATCTCGTGAGAGCTGATGCTGCAGCTTCATCAGATGACAATAAAACTTTCCACAAAACACCAAAACACGAAGTAATCAAAGTCCAAACAAAAACATTCAGACCAACATTTGGAACTACTAATTAAATTTAAATGTTTTAGACATTCACTTCTGAAAATAGATGCTCTTCTGGCATCAAGTGCTTCTCTGTCTCTTCCTAAAATTCAAATAGGCAGTGACAAAAAAAAAAAAAAGTAGAGAGGGGCTGGAGAGATGGCTTAGCAGTCAGGAGAGCTTGGAGCTTAATGTTGGGTTCACTGTACCCACAGCAGGTAGCTCCAGCTGCAGGAGAACTGATGCCCTCTGCTGGCCTCTTCAGACACCTACACTCTTGTGTGTGTAGTTATACATAGATGCACGCATATTATAGAATTAAAAACAAATCTAAAAAAAGAAGGAAGCATTTTTTATCTTGTTTAAAAAATATCAACAAATGTAATTTTTTAAGTGCATCTTGTGTTTTATGTGAAAGATTACGTGTTTCTGTGTGTGCAAGTACTTAAGCTGGTGATTGTTTGTCTCTATGAATTAGTGCTGGATCTGATGTGACCATTAAAAACTGAAGAGACTTCATTCTTGGCCACAGCATTCCTTCTTCACTCTCTCCCCTGTTAATTTTAGCAAGCCTACTAGCTGACTTGTGCCCTCTCCTATTGCCTGTCCTCCTGACCATTTTCTGATGGAAGTGTCAAGGTCAACAAAATGATGTGATAGCCAGGATCAAGGTGAATGAAACAGAAATGAATCAGTGTAATTAACAGCCTGGTTATACGTGTCTAAAGTGCTTCGCAATGGCTGAGATAAACTCAGCATTAGCTAATGACATTTGTGTGCCTGCTGTGTGGCCAGTCTCATATGTGAGCTGGCTTAGATGTCCAGTGGGGGGGGGGTGGCAGACAGACAGACAGGTGAAAGCATGAGTTAATATAGTCCCTTAGTGTATTAGTCAGGGTTCTACAAAGTAACAGAACTGACAATGAATACATAGATATTAAAAGGGGATTCATTAGAGTAGCTTACCAGCTACGGCTCAAGGAGTCCAACAATGGCTGTCTCCTGATAGATCCTGATAGATCTGGTAGCTGTTTAATCACAAGACTGATGTCTCATCATTCCAATCCGGTGCTGGAGTCTCAGCAAATTCCTAGAGAGCTGCCAGTCTTCAGGCTGTGTTGACATCCTGAAGCAATTGATTCACTTGATGGTTCTAGCACCAAAAGGCTCAAGAAAAAGACAGATGAACTTGCCAGTGAGAGTGGAAACAAGCAAGCCAAAAACCAAAAGCTTCCTTCTTCCATGACCTTTACTGGGGGCGGGGTCACCAGAAGATGTGGCCCATATTTAGGGTGGGTCTTCCCACTTTGAATAATCCATCCAATAAAAATCTCTCACAGGTGTGCCCAGCTGCTTGGGTTTTTGTTAATTCCAGATGTAGTCAACTTGGCAACCAAGATTAGCCATCACACTTGGCTATATGTTAAGGCCAGCTAAAGATGGCACAGAACAGGCACCCAAATCCTATTGGCTAATACCTTAACTAGTATAGTGCATTTCAGACACATTCGGACAGTCTGTTAACTTTTATCAATAGTTAGGATTTGAGTATGCACATGCTGTTATTCTGATGTCATGGATAATGAATTAGGGTGGTGATTATTTATTTTAGAGATGAGAAAATGACATTTATGTTAGTTCAGGATCTGACTATCCCATATCTAGTAAATAATAAACACAGAACAGTTTACCAGTAAATTTGGCACTTTCTGTCTGGTCTTTGAACTGTTTGTAGACAAGTCTTGCCTGTTATAGTGAGTTGATCTTGAACTCACTGCATAGCCAAGCCTGTCCTTGAATTTGTGGCAGTCCTCCTGCCTAAGCTTCCAAAATGCATCTTATTCCCTAGACATCTCTACAGCACTGAGGAGGTCAGAGCAAGATGACTGTGCTTGAAGCTCAGTCTGGACTGCATGAAAGATCCTTTCTCAAACAAAGCAAAGCATCTTCAGACTTTCTATGTACTACAGTAGAGAGTCCACATGCTCAGAGCTGCCCTTCAGCCCTTTCCCAATATATCTCTCTAAGCTCCATCTCCTGCATCTCCTGCATCTCCTGCATCTCCATCCATAACATACAGAGCCATTCACCATCACAAACTAGGCTGTGACACCCAAGTGCCCAGGACCTTGTTTATTATTCCTACTGTTATTCATTATTCTCAAGGAAGGAGCTTCCTGGCTTTTAAAATCCTTATCCACTGGATTTTGAAATAATCTCTCTCCTTCCCAAACACACATGGAGGCGGGACCTTTATTCTGCCCTTCTGGGAATTTGAATTCCAAGTATAAATGTAATAAAGTCATAATATTGGAACAATCACTGGATGTTTGGCTGCATTCCATCACTACAGCAAATTCTGCACTGAGTTCTCCATGTTAATCCTCACAGTAACTTTGTGCTGATATACTGTCATTACTGTCATGTGGAGATGGGGGTGGGGAAACTGAGCCTGAGGAGTTAGTGACTGTGCAAGCTCTCATCATCAGAAAGACTTCCAACTACATTTCTTCAGAGGACACCATGCCTGGTCTTGTGTCTGCACTTGTGTCTGCAGAGCCTGGCCAATGTTGGTGTATAATTGTCCCAGTTCAAGTTTGGTCTTTAAGATGGCCGATGACACCCCTGCTTCCTACTTCACTAAATTGTTTTGTCACCAAACAAAAGCCTGAAGACCAATTCTGACCTTCCACCCATTTGTTGCACTTATGGTCACATAGCCATGTGGGAATGTTTCTGTAGTCCCTGGCTGCTATTCTACTACGAAGACAAAAGAAAGCTGAAACAGCTCACTGCCCAAAGTAACTATCAAGATCATGTACAGGGTTTGCTCACCCAGTTTATAGCTCAACTAACCTAGGCTGGCCTTTAATTCTCTGTAAATCCAAAGCTGTCCTTGAACTCCTGGCCCACCTGCCTGCCTCTACCTGCCATGTGCTATGATTTCAGGTGTGTACCACCATGCCTGACATCTCTATACCTCTAGATAAGTTGAAAATGTTGTATCTTATGGAGAAGTAATATTACTATAATTTCCATTAAAACCACAGCACATGGAAGTGAACTGCAGTGTGTGTGCATGTGCTCATACACAACTGTGGGTGCATGTGCAAATTTGTGCATGTGATCGTGGAGGTGAGAGGTCGACCTTGGATGTTACTCCTCAGAAGCCACCCACCTTGCTTTTTGAGACAGTATTTCTCATTGACCTGGAACTAGCAAATTCCAGCGTGTCACCTCCTGCTCTACAGCCAAAGAATTAGAATTTAAAACATGAGCCATCGCTCCAAGCTTTTGTAAAGATTTTTGGGAGTGTATGTCAGCCTGGAGAAAAGGCCATCAGCGAAGTGCTTACTGTGTGAGCATGAGGACCCGCAATTTAAATCGGCAGCACCTTGCAAAAGCTCCTTGGAGCTCACTGACCATCTAGTCTAGCTGAATCGGTGAGCTCCAGGCTCACTGAGAGTCCTAGTGTCAAAACAAAGAAAGGAAAAGACCAGTTGAGGAATACAATACCAACCTCTGGCCCCACTCAAATGGACAAACATGTGCACACATGTATACACTCACACACACACAGACACACACACACACCCCACATACTAACACACATAACCACCACATAAACACACAAAGAAGTAAAATATAATAATTTGAATGTATTTAATATTTGTGGGGCTGGAGAAATAGCTCAGCAGTTAAAAGCACTTTCTGCTCTTCCATAGGACCCAAACTCAGTTGCCAGCAGCTGCATCAGGAGGCTCAGAGCTGCATTTATATCTGAGCATTACACACTTACAGAGAACCATGAACATCAATGCCTGTCCTCCACTGACCTATCTCTATCACTATGATGTGTACTAAACCTACTTTTCTATAGAAAACCTAGAAAATAAACTTCATAACGCAGTAAAGAGTATAATGTTCTAAATTTGTATTTTCCACTGGTAAATATAGTTGATTTTGAATGGGATTATTTTAGGCAACTCTTCAGGATGCTAATGTATTTTGAGGCTCACTCATGAATGATGCTGATGTTTCTTTATCTAGCTGTGTGATATTTGCTCTTACACCCATCACAGTGAGACCTAAGAAGTGAAACTCAAGCCAGTTCACTATTGCTTTTATTAATGGTGTTCATGCTAAGCATACTGGTGTAATGTTAGCAAAAGGTTTCTGTGGAGTTGAACAGCAGGTGACCTCAACATTTTCCAATCGCCTTTTTCCATGTAGATTTCGTATTTTAGATCCCCCCAAGAGCATTTCCATGAGATATTATTTATCTCTTTACCTCATTTAATTAAGAACAAAAATATGAATGTTTAAAACACTAGACTCTACATGTTTGCATCCTGTTGTCTTCAAAGCAACAGCGTCACAACAGCATTCTATGGCTCACCCTTGAGATGAGAGGAAAGGCCTATAACCTCTTGCTCTTAGTGTGAAATAGAGTTTTGGGCTTTTTTTTTTCTATCATCCAACCCAGATAGGTATTGGGTCACCTTTGAGAACTGCTATCATAATATATGTGCATAGATTCACCTTTGAAAATCCCCTTGTCAAAATACAGCTCACAGCATCTGAGCCAAGACAGGGCACTTATGTGTGCACACCCACGGATGGTTCTCTTTTCTTCTGTCTCCAGCTATGGGAGTTCCTGAAACCCAACACTCCACTGGAATCTCGGATTTCTAAGCAGTGGTGTGAGATTGGCTTCCAAGGTGATGATCCGAAAACAGATTTTCGAGGAATGGGTCTTCTGGGACTTTACAATTTGCAGTGAGTAAAACAAAGAATAGTTGAGCATTAAAACAATGTGGTAGTCTGCTGGGGCTGAAATTGCAAAGAGTGGTTATCACTTTCAAAAGTCTCATCCCAGGAGATGCCGGAAGAATATGCATATCCTCTAAATAGAGAATCAAGTTCCTATAATTTCAAAACTTGCCTATATTCCAACAGACTTCATAGAAATGTTTAAAGCAGCTCTTAGATATGTATTTTAAATTTTTATTATGAAAAACTTTAAGCCACATGCAAAAACCTCTTACACTGATGACCTAAACTCAAAAACTGCAACATTAGTTTTAGACCAAAAAAAAAAAAAGTTAATGAAAATTCTAGGCCATTTGTCTTTTCGTTTCTCATATTTCAATATATGCCGCTTTAAAAAAAAAAAGTCAATCCTGGGCCTTGAAATACCTCAGCAGGGAAAACTTCAGGCTGCCTCATTCCGTGACCCGAGTTTGAGCCTGGAAACCTGTGTGGTGGAAGAAGAGAGCTGACACTAAGCTGTCCTCTGACCTCCGTGTGTGCACAGACTCAGAAAATAAATAAATAAATCTAAAATGGCTGCTTTGAATTTCTCTGTACCACTTTAGATTCCTATAATAAATTACATAGGCATGCATTAGTAACTTTGCTGTAGCTTTATTATTGCCTGTGTTAAAAAATTTTATGAAGTGTTTTTGAGGTTGTGTGAGCTTTTATGTGTATGATGAAAGATCATTGCTAGTTCTCCCCCAAGACAGAAATTCCATTGTTTATTAACATCCCTAAGTCCTATGAGATGTTTTCTAATCATAAAGAATCCAAACACAGTGTGACTGCTTTCTAAGAAAGATGCATTTGACCTGGGCATCCTGGCTCACATCCGTAATCCTAACTCTTGGGAGTCAGAAAATCAAGGAGATCAGGGCTCATCCTTGGCTGTCTAACGGGGTCAATGCCAACCTGAGCTGCAGAGGCACTGTGTAAGAAAAAAAAGCAGAAAGAAAGGATGCGAATGAGGGGGAGAGGAAGGGGAATGGGAGGGGAAGGAAGGAAAGGAAAGGAGAGAGACGGGGAGGGAAGGGACCTGGAGTTCTGTCTCCCCTTTGCCATGTTCCTTCTCTCCATCTTTTGCCTCTGGGGGTCTTCATTCCTTCCATTCAGTCACCTGACCCTTTATCTACAAGGCTCAGTTATACACTTGGGTCCCTGCGTAGTAACAAAGTTCATAATTAAGTTTTCAAGTCTGTTGGCTCCAGAAGAGTGCCAGTCTCATGCCAGTGTGTATCTGTGAATGCCAAGTACCCCTCACCACCACCTTGTGAGGATGGCTATCTTGCAGACAATGCATTCAGGGTCTTCCTTCCCTGTCCTACAGATATTTCGCAGAACGGGATGCCACTGTGGCTCAGCAGGTTCTCTCCGACTCTGTTCATCCAAAATGCAGGTAATTGTTCAAAATAAAGTATGGGTTGGGCTTTTAGGATTAGTAAATATGGTTTCTCACATGGATCTACAGAGAAGAATATCAGAAGAGCCAGCTCACTGGAAGTCAAGCTTAAAGTGCTCTCGTTAGCCAGTTTGACAGGTGCTAAACAAGAAGGTTAATACTTCAGATGCGCATTTCAGGATTTAGAATACAGAATGATGTCCTTCATTTAGAATGCAGAGTGTGTGTCAAGAGTGTCTAGAAAAATTCAAAGGTGAGCATGGAGGGACAAACATGGAGGGAAGAATTCAGAGACAAGGGAATGTGGTGTGGGCAGAGGGAAAAGGAAGTCATGAGATCAAAGACCAACAGAGAAAGGGTTTACGAAGGTTATTTTGCTTTAAAGTTCAGAACTATATTTGCATTTCATTTACTTGATTTTTTTTCTTTGACTGAATACATAAAGGGATATCACTAAGGAGGAAATAAGGTATTTTTCTTTTGTCTTTGTGTTTTGTTTTTATTCTATTTTAGAATGTCTAGGTTAAGAGTTTCTAAAAATAAGTAGATTTATGGAAAACACTTAAAGGCAAACATCACCAGCTTATAATCTGATATAGTTTATAATTCATGGACTGAAATTTTTATGAGCTAGAAGCCAATAGATCTAATCTAATGAAAGGGTCAAGAAGCCAGAACTATAACTGGCTTGAAGAACACTTAATCCCTTCTTTTAAATAGATGACTATCCCACACACATGACCTAATCCCCTCAAGAGACATTTTACTTGGATTTTTTTTTTGCATACTGAAAAATTGATCTTCGATTAGTAATTTTTTGAGATACAGTCTCATAAAAAATTATGTAGCTATGGATGGCCTGGTGCTCACTCTGTAGACTAGGCTGGCCTCAAACTCACAGAGATCCACCTGCTTCTGTCCCTTGAGTGCTGGGATTAAGGGCATACCCCACCCCTCTTAGCCTTGACTGATGTATTTCCAATTTGATTGTTCTGAAGAGTAGCTCTTCTCATAAGAGTTCTTTCTATTTTCCTGGGTCCCATAAGATTTTATTTTGTCCTCCACCTAATAATGCTTAATTATTACTGGCTAAATAAACATAAAGTTTTATTATAACAGTCTTAAAATTCAGGAATCGGTTGACTTGGGCTTATTTCACTGATGTTACGACTATTTTCCTCCTGGCTCCATTTGGCTGAGGTTCATTAAATTACATTACTTTCCCAAACTTATCTTTATAGTCTTTTATAAGACTAAAAATTTATTTTCTGTACTTTTGTTTATTTTAAGAAAAAATTGACATCAGCTAGCTGTTTCTTGATAGATTACATGATCAAACTCAAGCTATTTTGGCTTTTAAACTATATCTTCTGAATTGCATAGTTGTACGTTGAACTCCCTGTAATTAAAGTTGTCTGAGGGTCTGTGTGTTTCCAAGTGGTGTTTCTGGATCAGAACCAGAAGCCATGGGTGGTATGTGATCTGGGGAAGAATTAATAAGCTTAAAATATTTTGAATAAGCATTGAAGGGGGATTAATTTCATCAGCGAGCCATCCTCAAGCAATGAGAGATAGACAGAGGCTTCACAATTTTGACTCCTAGTGGCTGGAGAAACTGTGGACAACTCTTAAGAAGACTGGCCTCTGTATGTGTGTTGTGTAGGAAACTAGTTTATCCCTCAAGCTACAATCCAGTCAAAGAGAAAGAGGCCTTTGTATTAGTTGTGTCAAACTAATGTTGAAGGTCACCAAATGTGAATCAGACAGGCTTGAACATGCTAATATATTTCTTATATAATTGCCTGAAAGAGGTATATTTTGACCAATCATGGTATCATCATAGCTTCTATCAGACCCTACATATTTCAGGTATTCAAGAATGAGACAAAAATATATGTACTACAAACATGTTTCAAGAAGTCTTTCAGCAAACATGATACATTGTTGCCTTTTGGACTATTTATAGAGTCCTAAAGTAACTTGATGGATAAAGGTAGATAAAATTTTAAGAGAATTATGCCTATTGGTTTTTGTTCATTTATCTGGAAGATACTAACTTATAAGTAGCCAAATAAGTGGAAGCTACTTGGCCCTTTCTTAAATTTCAAATGCAGACAAAGATTTCATTTAACAAATGTAGAGACACACTATGGACTTTCAGAGCTTTGTTGAAGAGAAAATTGATACTTAGAAATTTTTTAAATTTCATATGCAGTTCAATTCATTTCGAAGATGAATCTTTTTTAGAGGTAAAACTTTCCTGGTGCCTCTTTAGTTTGTTGCTTAGGAACCATACTTTTAAAATATGAATATTTTAGCATGAATTCCAACACCAATTTGGCATCGTACCCAGTCATTCACAGAGTAGAAAACACATGTGTTAAATATCCTATACCTTATTTCTCCCCCTCTCTCTCTCTCTCTCTCTCTCTCTCTCTCTCTCTCTCTCTCTCTCTCTCTCTCTCTCTGTTGTTTTGTGGTATTACATGAGTCTTTGAAGTGTGCCATTTGCTATTTGCCATTTGCTCTAGAAAATTATCCTTTTTCCTGCTTGGATGGATTTAAAAATTGCATGTAACTCCAATGCTAAAGTTTGTTTGTTTTTAAGACAAGGTCTCACTATGTAGCCCAGACCAACCTAGAATTCAAAGTCTTCTTATGTTATGTCAATATTAAACCTGTTAACTATATGTATATGTACATTAGCTGAAACTGGTCAGTTTGAACATATCAACTCTAAAAGTAACAATGCAGATGGGGATAGATGAGATTACAGATGTGTGTCACATGCCAAGTTTACACTGTTGCTCTTAGCAGCAATCTATTCAGACTTAGTGTGATGTTGGGGTCACAGATATCTCTCTGTATAGTTAACAGTTTAATATGAGCATTCAAGGGGACCAAGAACAAATGAAATACATTAAATGTTAATTTGTTTATTTGTTCTTTCTTTCAGCAAATTCAGCAAAACAGAATGGGAAAAGAAGAAGATGGATAAAGCAATCGGGTAAGTGTTGTATTGTGCATGAAAACCTTGAGCCCTGGCTCAGAGACAGCAAAACTGGGCTTGATTCCCAGCACCCACATGGTAACTAACAACTGTCTACAATTCCAGTTCCAGGAGATCCTATGCCCTTTACTTGCCTTTATCATAAAAGGCACTCACATGGCACACAGATATACATACAGACATACCACTAATACTCATAAAAATGATAAAGCAAATTTTGAAAATTATTTATAATTTTTACTTTCTGTACCTAACAACATGGCTTACCAGGAAAGGTACTTGCTGCTGAGCCTGATAATCTCAGTCTGACCCCTGGAACCTATATGTAGAAAGAAAGGATGCTTAAATTGTCTCCTGATCTATACACACACACACACACACACACACACACACACACACACGTCAGGGCACTTAAGATCATACGTACACACAAACAAGCAAACAAATTAATGTTATTAATGGTCTATTTCATTAGACTTATTTTTATGCTGGACTTATAACAGCAGAGAGATTTTAAGTATTCTGTTTCTTTTCTGTAGAAGAAGGACATAAAATATGCTTTGTGATGATAACTTAAATATCTGACATAAAAATTTAAATTTAGGAAAACACAGGAATATTGATCAGAACTCAGCCTACCTTATCACTTTTACATACCTACAGTAACCACTCAGAGCTTTTCATTCTGGCCATTTCTCCATTCACACATGTGCACCCACACTAAATGTCGGCGTCTTCTATGCATATATCTTGCTTTAAAGTCTCTAAGAATACAACTCTAGCTAGCTGTAAAATTACCATGATTTAGTTAGCACCAAAATTACCATAATTTCCCTAGGAATCTTTTTAACATATTTGAGTGGTTTCTGTCTCTAGATAATGCTGTAATAAATATTCTTATATATAAAGCTTTGCCAACCATGAACACTGACCTACCACATGTTTGGAAATGGAATTACCAGGTCAAAGCACGTAAACTCTCTATTCTCTTAGCATATGCTACTGAAACTTTGTGGTAGAGTTAAAAGACGAGACTTTGATAAGGTAGAGATGAGTGGGTGGGTGGCCACTCTGATGATTTATAGGAATTTAGAACCCAGGTTATCAGTCTTTGAAGTGCTTCTGTCCCATGATGCAACACTCTTGGATTTTGTGGCTCCTACCTACAGGTATTCCTTTGCAATTGTGGGCATCAATATCACCGACCTGGCATATAATCTGCTCGTGAGCGGCGCTCTAAAAACACACTTCTACAACATCGCCCCTGAAGCTCCAACACTGTCTCACTTCCAACAAACATTCTGTAAGTGTTTACTGTTTAATTATTGTATAGGTTTCTATAGAGCACTCTATACAAGAGTTGCAGCTGAGAGGCCACTGTGAAGGATCTACCTTAGGCCCTTCGAGGAAGTTCCTTTACATTTAACTTTTTGTCTGTTTTCTCATTGAAACATCTGTGCCTATACCTCTGGGCACCGTGGATGTTTCTTTTCCTCAGCTCTTGTATGATGTGCAATGTGTCCACTTCAGGTCTGACTTTTGTCTATCCCCCTCCGATCTAACATGGCTTAACACTAAAGAACACAACTCTAAAGACAGCCTGAGTCGACTACCACCATCTTTTGACAGAAATGAAATTCACAAGATTAGAAAGTAATGTTGAAATACTTGCCTAGGGCTGGAGAGATGGCTCAGTGGTTAAGAGCACTGACTGCACTTCCAGAGGTTCTGAGTTCAAATCCCAGCAACCACATGGTGGCTCACAACCATCTGTAATGGGATCTGATGCCCTCTTCTGGTGTGTCTGAAGACAGCTACAGTGTACTCATATACATAAAATAAATAAATAAATCTTAAAAAAAAAGAAAGACTTGCCTAGAATGTAGATTAAAAAAGAGTTTTATGAAAAGCTTTTTTTTAAAAAGGAAGAAGGTTGAAGCACAAAAGGGCCATTTTGAAAAGCCTTCTATCTCGAGAAGGGGATGTCACGAAGAGGAGAAACTAAATGAAAGAAAACAAAGAAACTAATCAAGGGCGTGCAGGATCTCCAATGGAAGAATTGGTGAAGGGACTGAAAGAACCCCATGGGAGGAGCAACAGTTTCAACCGGCCAGACCCCCAGAGTTTCCAGGGACTGGACCATCAACCAAAGAGTACACATGGAGGGACCCATGGCTCAGGCCACGTATGTGGCAGGGGATGGCCTTGTTGGACATCAATGGGAGGAGAGGCCCTTGTCCTATGAAGGCCAAGTGTGCCCCAGTGTAGGAGAATGCCAGGGCAGGGAGGCAGGAGTGGGTAGGTGGGAAGGGTAGCACCCTAATAGAGGGAGGGGAAGGGGTAGGATAGGAGGTTTCCAGAGGGGAGACCTGGAGAAGGGATAATGTTTGAAATGTGAATAAAGAAAATATTCAATAAAAGAAAAAAAAAGAAATGAAAAAAATCAGGCCAGCAAGATGGCTTTGTGGGTGAGGACACTTGCTGCTAAGCCTGAAGATCTGAGTTTGATCCCCAAGACCCACATGATAGAAGGCAAGAATCAACTCTTACAAAACACACACATGCACACATTAATTAGTTAATTCATTAATATGAATTAGGCCTGAGGGATGGATTTTCGTATTTTAAGTTCTAAGCACCAACATAACAGATTAAGATCTATGTCACTGTGAGATATTATGACATTGTAAAGAGATGATCCTGAACCTGAGTATGGCTGGATCTGTGAACAGGGTCTAAACCCTTATGTTCTGTTCATAGGGGTTTCCAAAACAGCCCCCAAATGGAATGAAGCTTGTGTGGAGCTGTCAAAAGAATCAGCTGACAAAACTATAAAACAAGGGTGAGGATAGGAGAAGTTACTGTCTTTAGTGGGGCTTTGTTTTCCCCATCAAAACATTTTAAACTATCCAGTGCTGAACAGTGCAAGTATAACTGATAAGAATGAAAAGGATATTTAAAGATAGATTTACTTTATAACTTGTCAGTAGAAAAGGTAAGTCCCTCACATGACATTTTGTAGCACCTGTTTTGACCACTGGGTGATTAAATTCACTCCTGTAACAATTCTATCTCCAACAGATATTACTGGGATTTCACTGCAGAGCAGGGTGTACACTGAAGATACTGTCCTCTAAACAAACAAGTACAACACACTGGGAAGTAAAGATACTGTTTTAAAACATTGCAAAGGTATATTGCTGTCATTGCCAACTCAGTCTGAGAGGCAGAGAGAACTACATAATGCAACTTTCAATGAATGCCAAAGGGTGAGCGGTGGAAAGTAGTGATGGGCACCGAGTGGTCCAGCCAGAGACAAGCCAAGGACACAGGCCATGAAACAGGGGAACACAGCAGATCCAAGCAGTATAGTAGAGAGGGCAGTGTTGGTTAGAGATGATACAGGAAGTGTAAGAGAAGTCGGAATGGACCCTAAAGAACTCTGAATCACGTTGGAGAGCATAAGCACAACAAACCCAAGCTCGTGCATTGCGTTTCCTTGGCCTTTTATAAGTTGCCCTATTCTATGCTTTCCATCTTAGAGGAATCATGGAAACTCTTGTAAGGGAAAATACAATGAGATTAATTTGAGCCAAACTGAAAGTAAGCTCCTCTGGGGACATCTATTCAGAGATACAAAGTGGACATTTCTATGAGATGCCGTAGAGCCCTGATGGGTCAGAAGGGATCTGCCTACAGACTTTTAATTCATCTGCTTGGAGTTAAAAATCAGAAGCACACAGCAACCATCTCCCAGGGGGAAAAGAAAACTGGCATTTAAGGGTAGGAGTAGATGTTTTGTTCATTGATATATGATCAACCTAGTAGAGTGTTTAGCAACTATAGTGGGTGGGTGGATGGATAGATGGATGGATGGACAGATAAGATTCTACTATATTGAATGATCTTCTTTTCAGGGAAAAAGAGGTTGTAACTGATATGGAAGTGTTGTAGCATTACCCAAGTGATAGGCTTTTTCAAAAGGCTCCTGGACCAGATAAGTAAACATAAAGCAGAATCTTATTTCCCAGGATACTCTTCAGGTTGTAGAAAGAACAGCAGTCTCTAACAGATTGGATTATGGACACAGAGAATTGGCATTAGAAGACACACACTGTGCCCTGGATTCATTGTCCCTCCACTGGGCATGGTCACTTCTGCACATCTCTACTGTAATATGCTTGCAGTTATCTGTGTCCTTGCACATGCCTTTGCTTTCTACTAACAGGAAGGATGCAGTGAAGCAAAGCCAAGACACATTTAAACAGCAATAAATATGCATCAGGCTTCAGATGGCGAGGCAAATTAGTATTCAAAACAAGTATTTCATCTAGAGGAAAGGAAATAAGAATGTAATGGCTCTATCGTCCTGACTTTACAGTCTTAGTGGAAGCTGCTCTGCCGAGGCACTGTGTTGTAAAACTGACATCCAATCTGAAGCTCCACTGAACACAGAGCCCAGCTGTAATGAGGTAAAGCTAGGTGTAGCAATCAGAGGAAAGGACAAGCACAGAAGAGGGAGGGGACCATCTTTTCTCTGACCTTCATGAGAAGGAACTATTACATAGAAATAAGCACCAGAGAAACAGAAGGCACAGGGAAAGGCAGCCTGTGCTGACTATGGGATGACAGCTTGTTTCAGCCCTGGCATCCAGCTGTTCACTGTGTGACTGTGCACTGTTTGAGCTTCCTGGCTAAACCCAGTGCCCACATCTGTAAGACAGAGATACAAAATCTGCTTGGGCAACCCACAGCACTGGGAATAAATGAAACTGAAAACTAGAAGCAATAGATTAACTCTGTTTTCTCCCTTCCCTTTCCACACTACTTTGTTAGCTGTCTCAGATAACAAATCATTGTCAGAAATTGAATACCATCTCTCTCTCTCTCCAAAAGACAGGGAATTAGGAAACATGAGAACTCTACCTATTTCTTCATCCTCAGTGCCTAATAGTGTATCTGTTACATGCAGAACTGGTGGATGAGTGGATCAGACAACAGGCCAAATGACTCTTTGAATGCTGTGAAATAACACATACATGAGTAGAGTAATATGTACTTCGGGAGCCAGGTCACAATTTCTGTATTTTATAGCAACCATGTTATACAGTCTCTCTCCATTTTCCTGATAATATAGGGAGAGACTCTGGGAACCTGTCTATAGGATTTACAGTTCACATTTGTACTTATAGAGAAAATATTATGAAAACAATGTCAGATTATGAAGCACCATCACTCTTGGAGGTGGTCTTCTGTAATTGTGTGCACAAGAGAAAAACGGGGGAAACAACCATGTTTGAGTTCTTCTAGAGCTGTGTGATATATTACATCCCCTTAAGAGTAAGGTGGGTGTCTGCACAGTGTAGAAAGCTAGGCATCTTCATGTGAACTATAGAAAATAAGTTATTCATTAAAAGGAGCTAGAGATGCTACATATTCTGATTTGATAGTCTGCATCATACTCATGCACCGAATTATCACACTGTACCATGTAAATAGCGTCAAAAATCAAATTAAAAAGTTGGTTTTCACAGTATTTGTTTTTATCACTGCCAACAGGAGTATGCTAATGAGATGGATGCATCACGGATGGTTTTAATTTATAATATTAGAAATCTGACTCTCACCCACAGCCAAACATTAGGCAGACTGAACGTGAGGAATCTTGCAGAAGAAGAGGAGGAAGGATTGTAGAAGCCAGAGGGAGCAAGGACTCCACAAAAGCATTGCCTGCAGAATCAACTAAGCAGGGCTCATAGGAGTTCACAGAGACTGAACCTACAATCAGGGAGCCTGGATAGATCAACACCAGATCCTCTGCATAGACATCACGATTGTATAATTTGGTGGTACTTGTGGGACTCCTAGCAGTGGGAATGGGGGTTGTCTCAGACTCTTTGGCCTGCATTTGGGACCATTTTCCTCCTACTGTGCTGCCTCATCCATCCTTGATGTGAGGGCTTGTGCCTGGCTTATTGTAACTTGTTATGCAGTGCTTGGTTGGTATCCCCAAGAGGCCTACTCTTTTCTAAAGGGAAACAGAGCTGAAGTGGATATGAGAGAAAGGAGGCTGTGGGGAGAACTGGGAGAAGAGGATGGAGGAAAGACTGTGGTGGGGTGTAATATACAAGAAAAGAATAAGTGAATAAGAAAAAGAAAGCAATCTGACTCTCTAAGCAAGAGTAGCTCAAGTATGTTTATTTTAGCTCAAAGACCCATTGGGGAGAGTATCTGTGTGTTTTATATATCAAGAGAAGAAGAAATTATGAATTCTCATTCATTTCTTTTATAGCCATATCAATTGAAACATTCCTAGAAAAAGTCCTGGGGTGAGGGATGTAAAAAGATGGAGTCTTCTAGACCTAAAGATTTTAAACTTCTGTGGTATATGATTCATCTGGCTGAATCTGGGTGGATCTGCACATTTATCAAATTACTCCAAGGTTATTCCTGATATATTTTAGGACCTTTTCCACTAACTAAAATGGATGGAGGATTGAGTTCTTTGAGGTGAATAAGATGTAGCGATCAGAAGAAATAGTGCTAAAACCAACAGGACAAAGATTCTCTTTCACTCACTCACTGCACATGCGCTGTGATGGGAGGGCCAGATGCTTAGCCTGAAGAGATGAGCACTGGCACAAAGCACGCTGCAAGTGTCAGAGAGGGACTAGATTTGCTCCATGAAGCGTAGGCCAACAGCTTTCTGCTCTAGAACTTTCTAAGCAACTTGGGATGAAGCAGGAGGATTACAAATTAAAGTCTAACTGGAGCTACATATCAAGGCCTTTTAAAAATACAAACAAAACCAAATCATTCCTCCATCTATGTAACTGTCAAAGTTGTTCCTAGAGATGCCCAAGCAGCCTTGGACAAGGTCATATGAGTGGAAACAGATAAGGCAACTCCTGGGATGGGTAAGATGAAAGATGGTTGACATGATTTGCCGTTTTCCTGGTAGTTATGTGTAGCCTCAAGGCCAGCCAGGTAAGGGAATAAATACCTCCATCAGAAACATTAATAAGCAGTATTTTCCATTGGCCTGAAAGAAAGTGTAATGGGGATGTAGTTAACCCAGTAGAGTGTTCTCGTAGCACACACAAGGCCCTAGGTTCAATCCTCAGTACTACAGAAACCAGACCGGATAATGCACTGGGGAGGTACAGACAGGAGAATCAGGCAAGCATTCAAGATCTTCTGCAACTTAGTGAGTTCAAGGTCAGACTGACCTGCAAGAGATCTTGTCAAAAGAAAGAAAAAAGAGAACAGAATAAACAACCCAAAATAAATATAAAATAATTGTTCCCTCAACCATTTCTCCTATACTTTAGTGATTGGGTTCTTAAAAATCTGAGAATATGCCTAAACATGCAACATGGGGGGATGAAAGGGTGAGAACGGTCACCATCACGATGTGTATTGGGGAAGGACACCTCAAATACTGTGCAACGAGATAAGAATAAATGATGTTTTCAAACTGTTTATAGGATTATGTTGAAAGTATTCACATACATTGTCAGTTACAGAGGAAACGCTGTTGGTTTTCCTTTGGTATTCCGTTGAATATGTTTGTTCTATGTTTTCTTCTTATGCCCCCATTCCTTCCCCTGCTCTTTCCTCCTGGTTTCTCTTTATATGTGAACATAAAAGAATGGAATTTCAACCAGCATCCTCTCCAGGGTTCTGGCTCTATTTCCTTGCACCTTCTAAAGTTAAAACAAAGAACAACTTTATAGCTTTCACTTTTTCTTCTTTTAAAACTGGGATTATTTTCTTATTTATTTTATTATTTTATATGTATTATATATTTATTATTTTAGAGAGAGGCTTGGATTTGCATTCAGTTCCCCACATGCAAATACATAATATTGCCTTTTAAAGGAAGTATTCCCATTTCGGTGTTTTAGATGTGTGTGAAAGTGTGCAACAGGACAGAAAGAAGGGAAAGAAAGAAACAGTAAACAGATCCAAATACTTGATATTTATTCCCCAAAAGTTTCCACTCCAGAGTGTTCACAGATAAGAGCTGTGAACAAAAGAAATACAAGAGCATTTCAATATGGAACCACACAAGGACTACAGCTCAGACTTGGTTTACAATTCTTACTGTCTCATAATAGATGGTTAAACGCACCTGTTTGATGTGTCTGGGTAATTTAAGACTTTAGTTAAATTGAGTAACGAGAGGGAAAAAAGGCAGAGTGGAGTAATTCTGAAAGGCTGGACCATTGTGTTAATTTAGTTGGAATGAGAAGGATGAAGGAGTCACTGTCAGCCTTGTCAGCCTTTTAGAGTACATTCTTGGGATGTAGGGAGATGGCTTACTGGGTAGAGCCCTTGTCTTGCAAACACAAGGACCGGAGTTCAGATCCCCAGAACCCACACAAATACCAAGTGGGCATGGTGGCCCATCTGCAGTCCCAGTGCTCAGAGGATGTAGAGTGTGGAACCCCCAGAATAAGCTCGCGAGCTGGACCAATTGAGGTGGCAAGCTCTGGGTTCAAGTGAGAGGCTCCACATTGGTGTGTAAGATGGTGAGAAGACCCCTGTTATCCCCTGGCTCCACAAACATGCGTGTACATATAACACACACCCACATACCTGAAAACACACATACACAAATAAATGTGATTTTAAGAATTTGAAAACATTTTTGAAATATTTGAAAATCAAGGCGTGGTGGTGCAGCCTTTAACCCAAGCACATGGGAAGCAGAGCTAGAGAGATGGCTCGGTGGTTAAGAGCTCTGACTACCCTTCCAGAGGATCCAATTTCGATTTCCAGAACCCACATAGCAGCTCACAGCTGTAACTCCAGTTCCAGGTTATGCAATGACCTCTTCTGGCCTCCAAGGGACACCACACCATGTGGTGCACAAACATACATAACAGGCAAATACTCATTAACATTTAATTTTTTTCATTAATTAAGGAAAAAGAATATATTTCCAATATGAGTCATATTGAAGAGGTAGCAACTGTTTTGTTCTCCTGCTTTGTGGAGTAAAAATTTTCTCTAGTGCTAGCTGCACAAGGAATTACAGGCAGCTTGGTAGCTTCTACTTCACTGGTCTTACTAATACTTGGTGTTTGCTGTGACCTCCTTGGAGACTTTCTGGTCTAACTCATCCACTGAGGTTTGGAATGTGGCTAAAGACCTTGTAGACTTATCACCGTCTCGTCCCTAACAGGCTATCTGATGCACGAGTTTCACAAGTTCTGGATTGAAGAGGACCCCATGGACATAATGGAATTTAATCGAGTGCGGGAGAAATTCCGCAAGAGGATCATAAAACAGCTGCAGAACCCAGATATGGCGCTGTGCCCGCATTTTGCTGCATCTGAAGGTTTAATCAACATGTAGTGCCCACACTGGCTTCAGTGGATACCCCAGAACACTGCCTCATTGTCATCCTAGATCTCTGCTTAGGTGACAGCTCACACACCTAATGCATATGAGTGAATATATATATATATATATATGCATGCATGCCTTTTGGTACAGTATTTTCATCATCTCTTGGTCATTATTCCAAGATTCCCCCAGATATCACTACTTCTGGAGTACCTACCCTCCAGTCATTGCTCACATTGTGGCATTGTGCAGTGTTAACATCTGTCCTTGGCACCCAGGTATGAAGAAAGTTTTCTATTTTTTTAGATTTTTCCCCCTCATCATTCCATATTAAAAGTGTGTAATAATTCTCTAGCTGTAATTTGTCTGTAAGAGAGTTAACTGAATCTCATCCTGTGTTCATGTCATATTTATTAAAATGTTTCACGAAGACTGCTGCTAGCTTCTCAAGCTGGGCTCCTGCTTGGACCTCCTTTGGATAAAGCATAAGACTTTAAAATAATACAGACACATGATAAGCCAAACTCTTCCTGCACATATAACTGCACTTCACCAGAATGTAATGAGGCTATAAAGAAATTAGCTTAAATAGAAGCCATCCTTGTGTGAAGTCCTGCAGAACTGTAGCCTAACCTAACCACAGTTACAACTGTGTCATAGTCATCAGGATAGAAAACTAACATATTCCCATCACTTCATGGCTTGGATGTCTAAATACATGTAAGATGCTTGGAGCCCCAGAAACGAAGTCATATCTTTCCAAGGCTGCAAAGGGTTTCTCACTACCTGACTCTTGCTGGACCCAGACTTAGTTCTTAGCACTCCCCAGATCTGAGTACCCTTGCTTAGGGGATTGAGTGCTAACTGGTTTGTTTCTATGGTGAGGGGCAATATCTTAAAATTTTTTGCAAGAAAATGTGTTACAACACAAGAATCTAAGCAATGATATCATGCAATATTTCTTCTATCAGTGGAAGAAGTTGCTTGGAAGAAGAAAAAACAAAATCATCCTCAAACTGCTAAGAATCATCTTCTTTAAAATGTGATTTAGTTTGGAATTATGACTGTAGTCTGTTGAATAGTATTTACCATGGTATTTCATACCCGTGGTATTTTATACTTTGGGACTATCGATTTTAGTATTATTAGATATTTGTGTAATCACTTGCTTATTTAAATAAATTTTGAGTACTGCCTAACTGTCAGTGTATGAATAAATTGCATATCATTCTACAGTAATGGAGAGTGGGTTTCATTCTGATGTCTGTGTGCTCTATAGGTTTTAGGATATGCAAATATGTGAGTGGGTAGAACTTCAGAGACAAGCAACTGTTTATAAATCACTGTCTTTCAGAGCGGCCAGGTGTAATTCGGAATGTGCTATGGCTGAGAGATTTCCTTAATCTTGAGTCCGATTAGGCTTTAATGAATAAGCTATTTTTAAACATTTTTAAAATTTTGACAGCATCTCATTATGTAGCCCGGCCTGGCCTGTGACTCACTGTATAGACGAGGCTGGAATCCACATAGTCCCCGGCCTCCATTGCCAAAGCGCTAGGATTAAGGCATGCACCGCCATGCCTTCTGGTCTTACTTTTTCCTCATTGCTTCCTATAAAATCTGACTTGATTACTGCACGGCATCTGCTATTTAAAACCCCCCAGCTGCCTGTGGTTGTTTGATGGGATTTCCCCATTCTAGGACTGTGACATCATTTCTCTTTCCATCCTGGAGCCAGATGGTAGCCTTCCTATTTCCTCTCCTTCAGTCTGCACCCAGTGTTAGACAGTGCAAAAGAGAGAGTCGGCCAACACTTAATGCATCCCAGGAATAATGTCTCTAGATGAAGGAAAAGCTATGAGCCATGTAGATACTTTGTCTTGAGTACAACAGTAGTTACACCTGCACATGAAGGAATAGCCCCACACGCTGGGCAGACTTTGCTAACTACATCTGTGCACTACCTCTTCCTATCTAGTGTAGAACTGTCTCAGCAATGCACCTTGATGGCGTGTGACTTAGCTCAAGTTATTCTGCTCTGGTAGAGATAGCTGATGTTACAAAGCTAAGACATTCGCTCACGGTTCCTTGGAAGCATTCCAATAGTATCTAAACATGGCAGCACGATTTTAGGATGAGCAATTGCTGCCAGCTCCTTTGATGTGTTATTAGCCTCCTCGTTCACACCTCATGGTAGGAGATGTATTCTACCCAGTAACCCAGAGCAAGGTGAGAAAAAGAAAAGGAGGTTTCAAAAGCAGCAGAGACGTGCTGTGTGCTGTGTGGATGTGTCTCCCTAGGGTATTTCTAGCTTGCTCGTGTTTATTCCATCGAGCAAGGGTTGACCGCATAAAATGTAAATTGTGTTGCATACTTCCTTCAAGGTTTCCAAAACACTACTTGATATATGATTTTTTAAAACACTCTAGTTTGCACTACGGGGGTGGGGGGAGATAAAAATACTCTTTGAAGTATCGTTTCTGAAACTTGAGCCTTTGGCTGGATTTTTTTTCTTCTCAAAAGTTCTTGTTATTGTGCTGTAGTGAAAAGTATTTGCCTGGTAATCCATCATCTTGTCTGTTTTTGTAAAGAAGCTTAGATAGGTGTCATTCCAAAGACAGACCTGGGATGGTTTTACATCCTCCAAATCAGGGAATGAGAGAGAGAGAGAGAGAGAGAGACAGAGAGACAGAGAGACAGAGAGACAGAAAGAGACAGAGACAGAGAGAGACAGAGAGATAAAGACAGAGACAGACACAGGCACAGATACAGAGATGGAGGGATGGATGGAAGGAGAGATTAAGGGGGAGTAGGATGGATGCTATTGACATCTTTGGTATGACAGGCTAAACTGGGGCAGTTTAAGGAAACAGACGTTACATAATCAAAGTAAACCAAAAGACAGACATAAATAAAGAAGAGTCCTCTACTCATAGCTCAATAGTGCAGACACAAGTTCATCTCTTTGCTTCCTCATTCTAGCAGAAGTGCATCATGGGATCCCACATGCCCATCAGAGGAATGGGTTTTCTCTTAGGTGAGAATTTCAACTCCAATGATTGGGCCTAAAGTGTGATGGGGAAATGAAAATCAAACTCCACGGGCACAAGCTTTACTGATCTGCAAACATAAGAGGCCAGATCCAGACTGAATAGGCAAGACGATGGGACCAGAGTTGATGGAGTGTGGGTGGAAAAAAATAGAGAGTTCTAGAGAAAACAAGGAAAAGGTAGAGAAAATGAAAAGCAGAAAGTCTTTGACACATAGAAGAACCTGAGGTACAATAATACATACTCCGCCAAAGCACTGCCTCCAGTTCTCCTGGGAGCATAATCGGGCAATGCTCTAATTCAGAGACATGGCAGAAAAGCAGGACCGAGTGCAACATTAAGCCCTGGAAAGAGGTTCCAGCACGGATTCCGTTTCTAATGCTAGCATTTGGTGAGCCCCAGTGTCATGCAACAGGGTCCTGCTAACCCTGACCTCGCACGGCTGCAGCTCCTAGTGAGCATTTGAAGTCAGGTAGCTTTTGTTTGCTTTCTTGTTTGCTTTTCTTTCCTTTCTTTTTAAATTACCAGATTTATTCATTTTATATAATATGTGTTTTGCCTGCATGTATGTATGTGTACCACATACATGCTTGGTGCCTGCAAATGTCAGAAAAGGGTATCAGATATCTGCAAACCACCATGTGGTATCTGGGAATTGAACCCAAGACCTCTAAAAAAGCAGCCAGCTCTCTTAACCTCTGAGCTATCTCTCCATCACTTCCCTTCTGCTTTTCTTGACAAGCATGCTTATAATATTTCAATGCAGTGCCAAAGGATTCAAGAAAGGGACAGAAATGAGCAAGGCATGGTGGCTCACACCCATAATTCCGATACTGAGGAGGTTAAGGGAAGAGAATCACAAGTTCTAGGCCAGCTTAGGCTACAGAGTGATATCCTATCTCAAGATCCAAAGAGGAAGAGGAGGAAGGGAAAGGGAGAAGGTGGATGAAGATGAAGAAGGCTAAGCCTTCAACTCCAAGACTATAAGCCAAGACTTCTAACACTTAGAATTCTACCCTACTGCCCTGGGGTTCTGGTGGATTATAAACATGCATAGATATCCATGCCTTGCTCCTAAGTGATAATATGTTAATATTCCTCAGTCAGATCCCTGCAAGGTAAATTCATTCCTACAAATATTATTTCATTTTCTCTATATTCACCATTGGAAAATCCCCTGCTTTGATATACAAACAGTTGTGACAGTGTCCTAAGCTCTTTCTCCTGACCTCGGCCTCCCTGGGGAAGGAAGTTGCCTTCTTTCTTCCTGCTTCCTGGTGGGAAACCTCAGCAAGATGGGCTTGCAGAGCCTGGGCTGGGTTGTGCTCAGGTCAGATGCTACAGGGCATGTCCATGGAAAAAGAAACATGTGAGTCCATCAACATGCAGACTCTTCATTAATAATACAGTTCCCCCTACCCGCTGAGCTGGCACAGTCTCTGGAATACTGCTGCTTACAGACACACTAGTAAGCATTATGTCATCCGTTTGTATCCCTGGAAGGCTTCACAGAGACCCAACAAACACGGTAAGGAAAGAAGTCAGAAAAAGGTCACAGGCCCAAATCTCTTCTATTTTTTAATCTAAATACCTAAGACTGTGTTATGCTTCTGGGGCAAACCACAGATGAAAATTCACAACAATTTGGGAAGTATAACAAAGATAAGAGAAACTAAGATTAAATTCAGAAATACCAGGGCCGGAGAGATAGCTGACCACGTAAGAGCCTTGTTCTACAGCGTAAGGATGTGAGTTTGAATACCCAGAACCCACATAAAAAGTCATACGCATGCTTGTAACGCCAGCATCAGTGAATGCAGACAGGTGGATCCCAAGAACTTTCTGGCCAGCTAGTCTAGCTGAATGATAAACTTCTAATTCAGCAAGAGACCCTGTCTCAAAGCGGTGACACGGAGAGCACAGAAGGCATCTGGCATCCTGTCCTGGGTTCTGCACACAAACACACACATCTGTATACTCACTCATGTGAGCATACATCACATGAACACACACACGTACACTTAAAAAGAAAAAAAAAGGTTAAATCCTCTCTACCCTGTAAGTCAAGCTGTCCCTTGATGGGTTTTACCTACCGTACATACTCAAATGAACTACTTTGATTCAGGACTTTTCTAAAGCTGGAAGTCCAAACTGAGGAGAACATGAGACTTGAATCCAGGTGTAGAGAGCCCCACCACCTTGCTATTCCTTCTTTTAGAGCAAGCACGAAAGCAACTGTGAGGGCGGTCATGAACCAGGGAGGCTGGACCTGGCTGTGCACTGGCAGGAGTCAACCCCTCATGCCTAGAGAACTTGGTATCTGTGGGATGCTGTCCTGAGGAAGGCAGGAAATGTCATGGCTTGGGAGAAAACTGACTGGAAATGTAACTGTTCTCTGTTAGGACAGAGAGACCATCAGTGGCCCCTGGTTTGCTCAAGTTCCCCAACAAGAGCTCAACGAGTTATTGGGAAACTTTTTCATATCATACTACACTTACATTTCTTTCTTTCTTGTGTGTCTGTGCTGAGTGTATAATAATACAGAAATGGAGTCAGTAGCAGCCTCATGCTGACAAGAATTACTAAGTCTTTACTTTTTCTGCAGAGTATGGCAAAAAAAAAAAAAGAACTGGCAACCGGTAGGTCCGTTTTCTAGCGTCTGTACTGCTAGCCTTCCTTAGGGCGATCACTCAACCTATCTGACTTTGGTTTTATACCCATGACAAATGAATGATGACCATTCCTCCTGACAGCATTATAGAAAGCATGAGAGCTATATAAGTTATTACTAATTAAATCACTTTGAAACTTCAAAGTAATAAATATGTGCTTAATCGTAGTTTGGTTTGTACCTGTTTGGGTTTTGGCTAGAAGCAGGAGAAAATCTATAAGATTTGTCCTTATACCCAATATTGCCATTAATTCAATTCAGCAAATACTTACTGAGAAATTATTTCTGTGCTAGGCATCAGGCCAAGTCTGGGGATCAAATGGGAAGCTTTGCTCTCATGTACATCAGTGTATAAAACTAGGGACTTTTCTGAATCTGGAGTGTGGACCCCAAACATGAGTGTTGAGAGAAATGAATAACCTGGGGTTATTCAATGAGACTGCTGCATTAACTCCCTTCTCTGGGTGGCCTTTGTATACGTGAAGCTGAGAAGCTCTGGTCTGGGGTATTGATCT